ATATTTTTAGTGAAGAAAGAAGGAAATAAATTTTGCTGTAGAAGGGCAGAAACAATAGATCACATCGAAACATTTCCATGCTGAAGAGCTTATGGATTATTCATTTATGGCAAGGAGCTTGTTCATGAGGAGTGATTCATGCAATCATTTTACAATATACACAGGTTTCCAGTGAGGAGTACCTCATCCTGGAAAATATTAAGGCATTCCCAAGGATACAGATCAAGTTTAATTCAAAAACTATGCCATTCCAATTCAGACCTGGGCCTCAACTTCCAAAAGGTTTTCATTTCTGGCTTGGAGACTACATAATTAGAATGGGGAAGCATTAATGGCAGGCAGGTATCTGAGCTTCATCTCAGAACATTCTTGAGGAGCCCTGTCAGTCAACCATCTCCAACCCCATCAGTGACTCCATCACCTCCAGCAGGTCATACATCTAGGGGGCCAGGGGATTCTAGGGTTTCCCCCTCCATCAGGATGGCCACCTAAAGCTACCACATTTAAAGTCAGGGGCAGCAGTCAGCAGGCTATTTCAGTTGTAGATGCTGTGCTCTTCAGGGTGAAGGTAGGAAGGATATTTCCCCTGGTTGGAGTCTCTTGGTACTGGTCCCTTCTTAGCTAGTCCATGACCTGTACAGGGCAGGGTTGTCTGAGCAAGTGTTGCGCAGGCCTGAGGTATGATTATTCCAATTTCATATGCTCTTAGGATATGTGAACAAATTGCATTCATTTATATGTTAGCATATTCCTTCAGGCTTCTCATCCATCCTCAATACTTTAAACCAATGCTAAGCCCTAGACCTACCCTCAGTAGTCCCTTGGCCTCATCTCACTCTACATTATTCACCATGGTGAAGACCGCCTGAAAGGTGAGAGTTCACTGGTCATCTTATTCATATATCCACATGTCCGCAGAAATTGCGCATTGACTGAGGTAATGAAAACCAAGACAGCCCACCGGGAAACTGGAGATTCTAGACTGGAGTATATTGCCATTCCACACCCAGGCCCTTGTAGTCACCACAATCTTCAAACATTCACCCTGCCCTTGCTTGGGACAACAGGAGATGCCAATTAATACTCACTTTACTGGAGCTCCTGTCCTGGATGGTATCTCACTAAAATGGAAATCTGTGCCATGGAACAATGCTGTTTTCTTGGGTGCTTGATCAAAGAGGGGAGAGCTCAGCTGAGTATTGCTCTCCATCCATTTGACTCCTGATGAAGCAGGTTTTGTCAGACCAAATGTTCCAACATTACCTCCTCTCACCATAAAAGACAGTCCTTGAACTCTGGTCATTGCCTATTCATCTGGTCTGTGTTTCAAGATACCTAATGGTTTAACGGTACCAGCACCACATCCAGTGTGCTAGCGCAAACTTCAGCTGCCTAAGGAAAAGAGTGTACAAGGACAAAAACATCAGATCTGGTACCAAGCTCATGTTTACATAGCTGTGATGGTTCCTGCCCTCATTTATGCATCTGGCATGTGGACTGTCTACAGCAGACACCTCAAAGTGCTGCAGCAGTATCACCAATTCTGTCTGCGTAAGATCCTGCAAATCTGCTGGGAAGAAAGACGCAGCAATACCAGCGTCCTCAATCAAGTCAACATTCCCAGCATCGAGGCACTGACAACCCTTGATTGGCTACGATGGGTTGGGCATGTCATCCGCATGACCGACACAAGACACCCCAAGCAGGTGCTCTGCTCCCATCTCCGAAATGGCAGGCAAGCCCCAGGTGGACAGAGAAAGCACTTCAGTGATCCCTCAAGGTTTCACTGGCGAAGTGTAGCATTCCCACAGGCACCTGGGAATCACTGGCCCAAGACCATCCAAAGCGAAAGAAGAGCATCCAGGAAGGCAAACACCTCAAGACTTGCCATCGGGAAAAAGCGAAAGCCAAGCGAAAACAGCATAAGGAGCACGTTGTCATACCAATACCCCACCTTCCCATTCCCACAACTACTTTCTGCCCCACTGTAACAAAGCCTCAATCTGTATAGCCACCCATAGACCCACTCAGTGTGGAAGTGCATCTGCAAGGACCCCCAATGATGATGATGGTTTATTGGTGTGATTAACTTACCCAAAGTGACATTGCACCTTCAGAGCTCCCCTGTTCCTTTGAAGATACTCCATCCTCCTCCATAAATTGTCTTGTTATTTCTTTCCCCATGTTATCGAAAACATCCTCATCTCATAACCATTTAACCTATTGTAATATACAAAGACATAATTGCTTTCCCACAAGCTCCTGTCAACCCACTCATGCCTCTTCTGGTCCTGACCTTCCCATTCCTGAGCTCTCCTGCACCCTAACATTCCATAACCCCACCATGACACTATCCAGTACCCACCCATGACCATATAACTACCATATTATCATATCCGACTCCTTCCTCTCACTGTGACTATGCCCTCTGCCTCCCAGTCCCTTTGGAAAGCTTAGAAATGAGGCTGCACAATAGAGGAAGGATCAGTGAGAAAGCTAGGAGGGTGACCAGGGAAAGAGGCCAGATTCTCCTCAGAGGAAATCAGGTCAGAAAATAGGTATAGTAAGCACATGTCTGTCCTATTGTGTGCTGGTGGCAAGTATGGTTGGGCAGTGTGCATTATAAAAAGTTGGGTCCAAAGGGTAGGGCCCATTATATTGAGGATTGAGGTCTGAAGATCTGGTAAAGATTCAATTTTCTTTCCATAACATACATGACCAGAAATCTCTTTTGCTCTTAATACCTGCTATTGATGCATGTTGGAACAATTTACAAATTTGCACTCAACCAGGTGTCATTATGACCACACTTTCCTTGGGGAAACAGATTAGGAAGCACTAGAGGTATTTAGAAATCACTCACAAGCAATCTCTCTCTCATAACAAATACTGACTATCAAAATGTACATCTTCAGAGGCAGCACTTAATGAGGGAAACCTTATACAAGTTATTTGAGAATTTGAAACCTATTTAGAAGATCACTTCTGCCAAAGATATTGCACCGCCAAGTGTCTGTGGAAATCATAACAGTTTTCAAACTTTTTGACTCAAGGGTACATCAGGATGAGGCTGATGAAAGCAATATCATAAACTAATCAGTTGTGCATAAATGCAGTAAACAAGCAAAGAATGCGTTGCTTGCCAAAGGTAGTCCCTTTGTGAATTTCTCGAAAGACTCTCAGCACCTGTATTACAGAATGGTAAAATTCCCACAAACTTACAGTTTACACTCACACAAGTCATAGATTGCACATAGATGAAAACATGTACTACTATGGGCATTCCTATTACTTCCATGAAAAGAAAAGGTCTTGTTGTTTCATTCTTTAAATAGTATTCGATCAGGGGAACTACAATCATTTTTAAGTCTATATAATTTTCTGAGAGTTAACAGGTTTCTATTTTGGTATTCAGCCAAATATAGGGAGATAGAAGCCAAAAAAAATCTACAGTGGGCTGTGGAGGAGCACAGGTCACCGTTGACCTTCACTGGACAGAGATATTTGAATATTTGGATGCGTAATTGCTTTGTGCATGAGCCACTTACATTAAAGGAGAAGCAGATTGTTAAAATAAACACAAAGTTGGTTTTTGATCTGTGTTGTCCTCCATTCCACAATCTCTACTGCAGTGCTTCCCAAATCTTTTCTCTCTGTGATCCTATTACAAAGCTTGAAAATTGGCACAAACCATTAGAGAAAACTGAAAAAGCAGGACAAACAGCGGTTATAACTTGGTCAGAACTCCATGACAATCACTGCTGTCCCAGACTTCACAACACCAAAGTTTCAACTTGTGACCCCACCTGAGGAAGTGCAGTCATATTAATATTTTGACAAATCTGACAAAAACTAAATTATCACTTACTGCCCCAGCAGTAAAAATATAAATGCTAACAGATTGAGTATTGTTCTTTTCTGCTGCTTGGAATGACACCTAAACAAATGAAAACAAGAAGTATTGTGGGATATATCTGTTAACTGTTGTAAATAGATAGAGCTCAAGATGTAGCTGTATAAAATTCAAGTTGCTAGGTGTCAATATTTCACTTGTGTTTTGACAGAAAGAAATATGAATGCACTATGAAATTTCAAATATTTGAGGTTAGATTTAAATATTTGTTTTCACACAGAATCCAACAATTTTGCCTGCTTTTCAGTGATCTAATAAATTACTTTGGAATTTACAAAGGCAAATTCAGACTAGGATAGGTGAAGTAAAAATGACCTAAATATCAATATATTATGGCCCTAAAAATCCTTGGAATACAATCCTTGTAGTTACATCAAGATTACATCTGTTTGTGTCTCTAGGTCTGACTGTGTTAGGAGGGCACAAAATCTACATGGAGTGACCAATGTGCCTATGTGGGCACATCTCTGGTGCCTACCTGGACTGGAACATTCAAATCCTGATCAATACAGAATAGTAATTTCCAGAGCCCCTTGATCTTTTGTATGATGTGGCAAAGATTTTTTATCAAAGATTTTTTCTTCCCCTGGGGTCTAAGCTGAACTTCAATTGAAGACTAGTCCACCTTATCTCTCCTTAGTGAAGTGTCCTGCAGCATTTCACCATGCCTTGTGTGACCTGGGAAGTGTGGCATTGCAGCATAATGTCCAGCCCTGAAAATATTTGACTGGAATAGGATGAATACTGGATCTACGCCTCATTAGGCATGGGGAAAATCCTAAGTATAGTGGACACCCATTGCAACCAAGTTCACAACACTGTCCAAAGTTTCATAGCAATACTAAAATATGTGCTCTTCAATCAAAGCATCTTCCATTATTGTTTTGAAGGCAATGAAATTATGAATGGAAGATAATTGAGGCAGTATTCTGAAAATTAATTTCAAATTTTAGATTAGAATTTAAACTATGCATATGTTGATATTGTTCTCTGAGATGTACATATTGCTTTGTAAAATTAATGTTTGCTAGACGACAAAATTGTCAGGAAAAAGGTAGTTGGTTGAAAGTGGACTAAATATACTTACTCTTCCCAAAGCATAATCTCTCTCCTCAATAACTGCATTAATTTCTTCAGCAGTGATTTTCTTCTTTCGCTCTCTGGCTTTGTGTATTCGATCCACAATTAAATCTTCATTCTTGTCAATAGATCTCCTCGTATTTGCATTGTTGATTCGGTTCAGTAATTCCTGTAATGTCTATCAATAACATTTATGGCTGTTATTCATGAATTTTTAAATAGGTTTTATTTGGCTCTTTTTGTGCAATTGGTGGTTGCGCACAAGTAGTACACTGAACAGAATTAGTCCATTTTTCTGGAACATCTGAGACACACATTATTAGTGTGTCAAATTTATCTTTTCCCACTTCTTAGCTCTGGAAACCTACTCAATTGTGCTTAAGCCTCTAAGATATAAGACTGACATTAAAAAATCTCCTTTGAGAATGGCTTACCATGTCATTTTCTTCAGGGTTAATATTTTCCAACCTAGAAAAGGGACACAGAGAGCCTGATCAGTAGCATTTCCTTAGCACAGCAAAATGAGTTCACTTCCTAAATCTTTCCAACCTCAAGTAATTTCATTCTACTAGTCTTCAGAGTCAACCATGACACTAAACATATTAAAGTGCCACCTGCTCTATTCCATCCTTCAATAATGCTCCATATCTTCAGCGCTGTCTGCAGACTGTTAAGTTATTAATGTTTACTGCTATATATGACTACAGGGATCAACTGTTCATATGTGCAGAGATGAAGTCAGAGCTGCTATGGCGGCAATGCTAGCACTCTCACGGCATTAGCACGTCTGCCCTTAGACTTCATAACTCTATTTCAATGTCTCACTTCACATTTCTAAAAACAGTCTGTTATTTACAAAAAAAAGACTCAGCACAAGTGTTTCTGTAATGGGTTCTCAACCAAAAATGTACTTGAATATCTTGCAATATCGACAAAGTGCATCTGACTTGTAGCATTATACGATTGCATTACAAAATAAATCAAGTGCAATCTGTTTGACGAATGTATGTGGTTGCCCATTTAAATAGCGGACAATAAACAGATTAATTTTTGTTCATTTCTTATTTCTTGTAATGTTGGTTTAATAAATGCAACACATTACTTTCATATGATACAACAAGTCAAATATTAAATAAATACAACATTTGGAACTAAACCAGTACTGCAATTATGTAGTTATTGACCCCCACTCTATAATCCTCTCCCAATAAGTCAGGATGAGATATTCATTGTTCAAATACATGAGAGAATATTACTCAGTAAACCATAAGATGAAAACGACTAGTACTTGTTAAAATAGTATATCCTCGTAAATCAAATGGCAAATAAAGTACAATGTTGTATAGTCACAGATCAGCATGAAAAAAATCTGAAAGTTTTGGGTGCTCAAAGGAAGGTACAGATCAGGGGTTAGCTGCTTGTTAAAATGAATACAAGCAAAATACAAGGGAATTTTAGCAGATATCGGCTATGTGAAATCATATTAATTTGGGTCATAAACAAAGTAATGCTTACCCATTGTTAAGATATAGATATAGAAATTCATATTTTTTGTTGTGGACGCCATGGAATTTAAACAACTCGAAGGCAAGTACTCACATGTGAAGGGAAACAATACCGAAATGCTTTTAATATCTGTTACAACCTATGTGACAGTAGAAAAGAATGTACATAACCTGTCCTTTCACTTAAACTACGCTCCCCGCTTGTTGGTTTCCTAGGTATTCGCGCATTTTTTTCAAAACTAATTACGTACTGACTGTCCCGGCCAACCCATTGTTCTGCCTGCTCCTGCCCCACTGAACTTACCTCCAATTACCATGACTCTGTCTTTTCCTCCCTGGTCCAGGTACTCCTCAACTATGTCCAGGACACCACGTGCACCCTCCACCTCCTCCAAGACTTCCAATTTCCTGACCCTCAAAACCTCATTTTCACGATGTACATCCAACCCCTGTACACTTGTATCCCCCACGCAGATGGCCTAAAAGCCCTCCGCTTCTTCCTTTCCTGCAGGCCCAACCAGTCTCCCTCCACCGACACTCTCATCCATTTAACTTGTCCTTACCTTGAACAACTTCTCCATTAACTCCTTCCACTTCCTACAAACTGAAAGGGAGGCTATGAGCACCCGTATGGGTCCAAGCTACACCTGCCTCTTCGTAGGATACGTGAAGCAGTCCATTTTCCGCCGTTACACCAGCACCATCCCTCGCCTCTTCCTCCTTTACATTGATGACTGTGTTAGTGTTGCCTTGTGCTCCCATGTGGAACTTGATCAGTTTATCAACTTTACTAACACCTTTCATCCCAACCTCAAATTCACCTGGACCATCTGCGATGCCTCCCTCCCTCCCCTTCCTGGACCTCTCTGTCTCCATCTCTGGTAACCGCCTCAACACCAACATCTACTTCAAGCCCACCGACTCCCATACCTATCTGGATTACACCTCCTCTCACCCACCCTCCTGCAAAAATGCAATCCCTTACTCCCAATTCCTCTGCCTCTGCTGCATCTGCTCCCAAGATGGAGCTTTCTACTCCCGGACATCCCAAATGTCCTCCTACTTCAAGGGCCACAACTTCCCCCTCCAGTGATCAAAAAATAACCTCAACCGTATCTTTTGTATTTTCCACACTTCTGCCCTCAAACCCTTACCCCCCGCAACAAAAATAAATACAGAATCCCCCCTGGTCCTCACATACTATCCAACCAACCTCCGCATCCAGCATATCATTCTCCACCACTTCCGCCACATACAATCCGACCCCATGCCAAAGAGATATTTCCCTCCCCACCCCATTGGCCTTTCGTAGGGACCTTTCACTCTGCGGCTCCCTCATCCGCTCCACACTCCCCACTAACCCCACCACACCTATCACCTTTCCCTGCAACCACAGAAAGTGCTATAACTGCCCCTACACCTCCTCCCTCACCTTCATCCAAGGCCCAAAGCAAACTTTTCATATCCAACAGGGGTTCACCTGTACATTCTCCAACCGGGGCTATTATATCTGTTGCTCCTAATGTCGCCTCCTCTACGTCGGTGAGACCAAATGCAGACTCAGGGACCATTTTGTGGAGCATCTGCTCTCTGTAAGTGATAACACCACCTTCCGGCCGCCAACCATTTTAACTCCTCCTCCCACTCCCTTGATGATATGTCCATCCTGGGCCTCCTCCAGTGCCACACGCAAACTGGAGGAATGCCACCTCATATTCTGCTTCGGGAGCCTACAGCCCAATGGCCTGAAGATAGAATTCACCCGACCTGAAATGTCAAATTTTCTACTTCTCTGATGCTGCCTGACCTGCTGTGTTCCCCCAGCTCCATACTGTGTTGTCTCTGACTCCACATCTGCAGTTCTTGCTATCTCCTATGTATATTTTGTATTTTAAATGCTTTTGATACATCTGTGTATCTCGAATCTCTAATGTGATATTCAAATTAGTTGTGTCAATATTCAAGACCTCTCCCACATATATTTCAGGGAAGGTGGGTATTCTGAAGAGGCGTCATCAGATTCGAATCGTTAACTCCATTTCTCTTTCCAGAGATCCTACCAGACTGGCTGAGTTTCTCCAGCATTTTCTGCTTTTGTCATTAGATCCAGACAAAGTGGAAACAAAACACTCACTCCCATCTTCTATGCATCGCCCCTCACTTCAGTCTGTTGGGTCCAACAGCACAAAATGTTCCTAATATTAAATCACTGAGTATATAATAAATAAATTTAAATAAGGAAAATCCATTCTGCTACATATTCCAGCATTTGAATTTGGGACACATCGGGTAATGCACTTGCCCCAGATATCCAGTGGTCCCGTGGCTGACAGCTGAGAAAACACTTTGGGGAAATCAGAGAATGTAGATGCATTCATGATGCCCTTTCTTATACAGGCACAGGGACAGCATTGACTAGTAGGGCAGGATTCCCTTTTCCAGAGATATACGCTGATTGAAGGAAAAAGATCCTTCTTATAAATATTTTGAATTTAAATTGTAATGAGCAGTGACATAGAAGGTAGATTAAGTATTTAATTCACTCAACAATTGGGTTGATTTTCAACAGAATGTGATTTGCAGTCAACAACCTTATCATGTGAGTGAACAAACCATTATATGAAATTCAGTTTGCAAACATACAAATTAGGAATAGAGGTAGGTCATTTGGCCCTTGAAGCCTGCTCTATCATCAACAATATCATGGCTGATCTGATGGAGGCCTCAACAGAACTGCCCTGCTTATCCACGATAACCTTTCACTCCCTTGCTAATCAAGAATCTATCCAGCTCACTTAAATATTCAATCTCCCTGCTTCCACTGCTTTCTGGACACTGAACTTTGCACAGTAAGAATATGCTAACAGTCTCAAATGGGAGACTCTTCAAGGTCTGTTATATTTCACCTTTCATTCTTCTAATCTTTAACAGATGAAGATCAATACTGACCAACCTTGCCTCATATGAAAACCCTATCATCCCAGGAATCGGTCAAGTTTTTTATTTTATATATTCCTTTACAGATGAGGGTGTCACTGGCCAGACAGCATATACTGCCTGTCCCTATTTGCCCAGAGGGCAGTTTAAGAGTCAACTGCATTACTGTGGATCTGGAGTCACATGTAGACCAGACCAGGTAAGGATGGCAGTTTTCTTCTCTAAAGAGAATTAGTGAACCAGATGGGTTTTTCAGACAATGGGTTCAGAGTCATCATTAGATTCCTAATTCCAGATATTTTAGTGAACTCAAATTCCACTGCCTGTTGTGGTGGGATTTGAACCCAGGTCCCCAGGATGTTATCTGGGTCTCTAGATTAACAGTCCAGCGATAATACCACTAGGCCATCACCTTCCCCCCTTCTCTGAACTGCTTCTGATGCAGTTATCATTTTTTAAGTAAGGAAATCAAAACTGCACACAGTATTCCATGTGTGGGCCCACAAATGCCCTGTACAACTGCAGCAAAACTTCCCTCTTTCTACATTCGAATACTCTTGCAATAAACAGTATCGTTCCATTTGCCTTGCTAATCATTTGCTATACCTCCAGATTATTTTTTGTGATTTATGTACCAGGACATCTGTATACCTTTGTAAGAACTTTGTAAGTTCTGCACATGCTCTTCATTTCAATAATGTACTGTTTTACTATTCGCCTGCCAATGTGGACAACCTTACATTTTCCATGTTGTACTCAACCTGTCTAAGTTTTGGTCATTAACTTAACCTATCTACATCCTTTTGCAAATTTATGACCTCTTCACAATTTATTCTCCTACTTATCTGTGACAATACTATAGCTTTAAGATTTGTATTTTATCAATGAAGGAAGGTTGAGACAGAGGTGATGACCAGTCTGCTCAAAGCTCTTAAAGTAAATAGCTAGTGAGGCCTTGGGGATTTTTTTAAAGTTGCAACAATAGAAGCAGCTTGAATGTGTGGGCACAAGCTCCCACAGAGCCAG